GGAAAGAGTCTATCTCTGTGTCTAAGAACCCATAAAAGGACGAATCTTATGGTTGAGTTTGTGGATGCAGTGTTGCTTCTGCTCCTGGGAAGGTGTTGATGACTGGGGGTTACCTCGTACTCGAGAGGCCGAATGCTGGGCTTGTGTTGAGCACAAATGCACGATTCTATGCCATTGTTAAGCCGCTCTATGAAGAGGTGAATCCTGAAAGTTGGGCATGGGTATGTGCTTCCACTAAGAGCTTGTGCCTTCATCTCATTGTTGTTCTATCGGAACTTATTTTCGTCTCCGGATTGACTGATTTTGATATGTAGTTGCCAGTATAGCTTTAGGGCTGATAAACAACCGTTATTGTTGATTATTTCCAGTCGTGGACAGATGTCAAATTAACATCACCACAGCTCTCAAGAGAAAGCATGTATAAGCTATCACTTAAACATTTGACCCTTCAGTCTGTATCTGCAAGGCAAGGCTTCTAAGACCTTATCAGTTGCTCTGCATCCTTGTTGATCATAAGATCTTCTGTTCGAGTTCATCATACACATTTATGTTTCCAATTCCGTCTTGCTCTAGAGTTGGTTTTCTTTGTGGAGATTTGAGCACTGAACGATTTCTTGTTTTGCTCCTTTCTATCTGCAAAACACTCCAGTGACTCGAGAAACCCCTTTGTAGAGCATGCGGTGCAGTATGCTGTAGCTGCTGCTCATGTAGCTACTGACAGGAGCAAGAAAGACGCGCTGCATAATCTACTCTTGCAAGGTAATCTTTAATTCTCGGCTCTTTTTTACATGTTAATCTCTGAACTGGACCTTTGGATGTCTGAACTTTTATCTAAATTGTTTTTGCAGGTCTTGATATCACAATCCTAGGCAGCAATGACTTTTACTCGTACCGGAGTCAGGTGTTCTACCTTTCTTTCACTGAAACACTTGGAATTTGTTTGGCTAGCATTTGTGTATATTAAACGGAGAATTCATGCGGCCGACCCCAAATAAACTTGGGATTAAAGTGTTGTTGTTGTTGTATATCTTGTTGGTGTGAGTTCTGTAGGATGTTCTAATAAATACACTTCAAATTTCCATGGCAGTCAATATTGTTAGTTCTAGGTCTTGTCAGCTATTAGTGTTAGATGTCAAGCTTCATAGAAGTTTTTGCCTGACATGCTAGTGCAAACTGTTGATAAACTTGCTAATTCTCGTAGATTGAGTCGCGGGGGCTTCCTTTGACACCAGAATCTTTGGCTACCCTTGCACCTTTTGCATCAATCACCTTCAATGCAGAAGAATCGGATGGTGCTAATTGCAAACCCGAAGTAGCAAAAACTGGCTTGGGTTCTTCTGCAGCTATGACAACAGCTGTTGTTGCTGCTCTGTTGCACTATCTTGGAGTGGTTGACCTATTTGAACTATGTAAAGAAGGAAAGCTGGGGTGTTCTGATTTAGATGTTATCCATATGATAACACAGACAGCCCATTGTCTTGCACAAGGGAAAGTTGGAAGCGGATTTGATGTCAGCTGTGCTGTCTATGGGAGTCAGCGTTATGTTCGCTTCTCTCCGGAACTTTTGTCATTTGCTCAGGTTTATAATTTTCAGAAGTTCTTTTTTCTATTTTCTGTATCGAAAATTTTGTCCTCAAATCATAATTTTCTGGAAAATGTGTCTTAAACTGAATTTTGCAGGTTGCGGCAAATGGTCTGCCATTACCTGAAGTAATTGGTGAAATTTTAAAAGGGAAATGGGACCACGAGTTATCGGAGTTCTCTTTACCACCACTGATGAATCTTGTAAGCAAGCAATCAAATCTAGAAGCTTACTGGAGCATTAACGCAATGCGATGCATCAATTTGATTCTGAAAGAACTGCCCTCAAGAGTTACTCTATGGTTCTCAAATATAATTTTTTTTATTGAATTTATTTTATTCAGAAGTAATTCGCGGGATTATGCATGCTTTCCATGTTAATGGTCCCAGATTTTTATTTGATAGAGAATCTAAGTAAAGTAGATTTACCAAAGAATCTTATCTCTTCCATTTCTTTCTCAATGAATCTATAGGTTGATAGGTTTTTCTATGAAGCCCAACATACTAATGGGATCTACGGTTTGTCTTATTTAGTACCTTGGGGAACCTGGAAGTGGCGGATCCTCCACTCCCTCGATGGTCGGTGCTGTCAAAAAATGGCAAATGGCTGATCCAGAGAAGTCGCAAGAAATTTGGAAAAAGTTGTCAGATGCAAATTTGGAGCTTGAAACTACGCTAAACATGCTGACTAAATTAGCGAAAGACCATTGGGATGCTTATATTGGCATCATTAAGTCGTGTAGTATGCTTACTTCAGAAAAGGTACTTTCCCACTTATCTAGAGCAATGTCGTTCGATATTTTGAAGCAACTTTGCTCATTCACCTCCTAAATCACATGAACAGTGGATGCTACATGCGACTGAACCGATTAAAGAGGTGATTATCAAGGCATTGTTAGGGGCAAGAGATGCTATGTTGATGATCAGGAATCTTATGCGCAAGATGGGTGAGGCTGCTGGTGTTCCTGTAAGTTCCCTTTTTCCTGTTTTGGCGATTGCTTCATACATGAACTTACAATACATGCCCCGAAGAGTTTTGTTTATGCATATACTTATATCAGCTTGCCGTAGAGCTTTTTGTAAGCACATGGAGACATAAAAACCTGATAGATTTTCCAGTTTCATATGGACATTTTTTCCTGCTAATAAGCTTTTAAGACATGACATTTCCAACAAATTTTCTTGTTTCGGATCTTTGATGACTGTGAGAGACCATGACAATGCAGATAGAGCCTGAATCACAAGCTCAACTTTTGGATGCTACAATGAATGCTGAAGGGGTTTTGCTGGCTGGTGTTCCTGGTGCTGGTGGATTTGATGCCATATTTGCCATCACTTTAGGTGACTCTGGCAATACGCTGACCAAGGCATGGAGTTCAAAGAATGTCCTTACCTTATTGGTGAGAGAATATCCACATGGTGTTTGCTTGGAAAGTGGCGATCCACGTACATCGGGAATTACGTCAGGTGTTTTGTCAGTTCATCTTGAGTAAGCCAACATTTTTGGAGTAAGCCAACATTCATCAAGGTATTTTGCACGTGAGTTGTATAGACTCGGGTACTGAATTTCTTGGCTAAATTGCGTTCATCTGGCGTTATTGTAACTTGTTAGTTTTGTAACTCTTGGAAAACACTGGCTGAAAAATAAAACAATACCTATTTAGAACAATATTCACTTGTGTTACATTTTTGGCTTCGATAATTGGTTTCGTCGGGCTTGAAGAGAGTCTGGAATAGGTTCAGAAAATAGGGGACAGTGAAGCAGCTGAATCACCAGTAATCTTTACAGGAGCAAACTCCACCTTTAAAATGGTGGAACCTGTTTTTATCTCTTACAACAATCTCTCTTTCATAGATCATGGAGATCATTTTAGTATAAGTGTGGCAGTCACCACACATTCTCAGATTTCTAGCTATCCTGATAGTAGATCCTGGGGATGTATATAACAGTGCAAAGGCAATAGCCAGCTTTTGACTGTGCCCTTTTAGTCTGTCTCTTTTTTCCTCTTCCTCTACATTGAGTGTTACCTGTGTAGTGTCTTGTGAATATCCTTCGAATTTTAGCTGCCATTCCATCTGGTGTATCATCTTGTAGATTTCTTTTGATTGTGGGTGAGCCCTATCCTGTGATACAAACCTGTAGGTTTTCCCTTTTACCTCGACCAGGCTGAATCCCGGTATTTGGGCTAAACCCTTGACTGCCATTTCTGTTCTGACCCTAGCTACATCTTCCCACATCTGAGCCTGTGAATACATGTTGGAGATCAACAAATAGTCACCGGGGTTGTGTGAGTTTAGCTTAAGTAGTTCCCGAGCTGCGATCTGGCCTAGCTCGGTGTTACGATGAACTCTGCATGAGCTGAGTAAGTTTCTCCAGACAACCTCATTCTGCTCGACAGGCATGCTTTGGATGATTTCCATGGCTTCCCCAAGCAGCCCGGCTCTTCCCAGAAGGTCAACCAGGCAGCCGTAGTGTTGAACCGTCGGTTCCACCTTATTTTCCATCATCATTTTCTCGAAGACTTGAAGGCCTTCTTTGACGAGGCCGGAATGGCTACAGGCATTGAGAACACTGACATACACGACATGATCCGGTTCAAACCCTTCTTCTTCCGCCATCTCCGAGAACGTCCTCAAAGCCGCTTCTCCTTGGCCATGGAGGGCGAGTCCCGAGATCATCGCGCTGTAAGTCAAATTGTTCCTAGTTTCCATCTGATTAAAAACTCTCGATGCTTTGTCTAAGCACCCGCATTTACCATACATATCTATGAGCGACGTCTCGACTATAATGTTGTGTTCACTTATGTTTCTTAACAGGAAGCCATGTATGCTCATTCCCAGATTGCGATAACCCGTGTTAGCGCAAGCCGAGAGGGCACTGACCAACGCGCTTTCCTCTGCTCTCAGATCATCCTCTCTACACATTTCTTGGAATAACCTCAAGCAATCGATCCACATTCCCTCCCCGGCATGAGCTGAAATCACGGAACTCCAAGAAGCAACTGTCTTGGCTTCCAACTTCTCAAACACCGCACGAGAAAGTGCTATTTCTCCACATTTTCCGTACATATGGATCAAGCCGTTCTGCACGTAGATATCAGTATCGAGGCCGAGCTTGAAGACATGCCCGTGAATCTGCTTCCCTTGTCGAACCGCCTTCATCCTAGTGCAAGCCTTGAGGAGAGCCGGGTACGTGAAATTATCCGGTTCGATCCCTCTCTCGATCATCTCGTTATAAACATCCAAAGCTTCCTCGAATCTCGATTCCTTTACGTACCCTCTGATCATTGTGTTGAAATCGAAGGCACACGGATCATCAATCACTCGGAAAACAGAGTCGGCGTAATCCATGCCGTCCTCCCAGCCCGAGAGAGCGCAGGCGGATAAAATGCTGCTCGTGGAGAAAGGAGAAGACCAGAAGAGGCCGAGCTTGACGAATCTGGAGTGGACCTGCTTGAGCTCCTCCACATCGTTGCATCTCTTCAACAGGTGCAAACACTCTCTCTCTTTTGATTTCAAGTTGAATTCTGGGTTTCTTGGTATTAGTTCCTCTTTTGGGAAGAGTGGCGCTTGTAGGAGTGGCGCTCCAATCATTCTCTCATCCCCACCATTACTTATCACCAAACCAAGGCCAAAACTGTCGGAATTACATGATTCAGTGACGGAGTGGCTGTCACTAGAATTGATTTCCGATCTTTAGTTTGGGATTGAAAGTTCTATAAAATTGATGGGAAGTGGGTAAAGGTGGAAACTTTTTTGCTGGGAATTGAAGGTGAGTTTCAGAGAAAGTGAAGCTCGTGGACGAGATTTTCCGGGAAAAAACAACCACAGGTATTTAAATTTGGCCCTTTTTTTTTTTTAAATTTCGTTTGATAGCTTTGCTGAGAGATGGTTGGGTGCTTTGGATTCTCTAGGCGGCCACGGTCAGTGGACCCCACTTCCCGGAGATTAGATCTTTGGGGGTCAGGATATTATTAGCCGACGTGTCTGGATTCTATTGGTTCATATCCGAACTTCGAAAGCTCCTCACGGTATATGTGAGAGATTATGTTTTGGTTCCTTGATGTTTTGATGAAATAAGACACGTGGCTTGTACGCACGAGTGGTATTGCGTACCAATTTTAATAGGTATAAAGGCATTGTTTACAGCTACATAAAATAATATCTGACATTTCCTCATAAGGCTAATTTGAAGTAAAAAGAGTTACCATTACCAAACAGAGTGAACTGGCTCGGCTCGTAGAACCAAAGACAAAGACCTAAGAATACAAATCTCTGAACCCGAGTTGCCAAAATCATATCTTATCCAAAAAAAAAAAACTGACTCTTTGCTCATCTGCGTCAATGCCCTTTTTGATATTTTCTTCCGTTCTTCCTGGTTGTCGAAATGGTTAGAAGAGCAAGGAAGGAGGAGGATTCACGAGCTGACGAAATCGGGGGTTTCGCTCTCGACGGATACCAATGCGGTGTGAACTTTGTCGAGCCAGCCGTCGAGATGTTCACGCAATGATTTTATCTGCGGTATCCCCAAAACTCTAGGTTGTACCCACGATACGTGCACTGTCCCTTCCACCTCGTCGATTATGCCTTCCATAAGATGAACCTGCATAAGCATCGATTATGCCATTTCCGAGCAAAAATATCAATTTTCTTTCGTATCATTCCTCGAGAAAGAAGCAAATATTGCGAGAAGAAGAAGACTGAAGAAGTGCAGTGTGCTTACAGATAGGCTTCTCATGAGAAGATGCTCGACATCCTCGATCGAGAGTTTTGTACGATCAGCGATGATTCTCAACGGTATCGTTCTGTCCTCGGAAGGTCGGCTGCAATAATCATACAAGCTAAACCATTATTCCCGGTCTTAACTTATAAAGGGGAGAGAGAGAGTCTGGGAAAAAATTATTGACCTAAAGATGATCTCCATCAGGCACAGAATGTTAATCTTTTCAAGAAGTTTCTTCTCGTTTTGGACCAATGCGGGTTGAGCCCTTAACGCATCGTTGTGAACACGGCATAGTTCTTGATACCGAACCAAATCGCCAGTGTTGAATGCCTGAAGCATATAATATAGCCACTCGACCTTCGATCCCGATAAACTGTTCAACTGCATAGACAACAATAGAAATTAAAAAAAAAAAAAGACATCAACCAGTTGACAGAAGACAAGACAAGACAAGACGGAAATGCTAACTCAAATCTAAAATTGGATCACTGATTAATAAAAAAAAATGTAAACAATGAACTTTTGTTCCCATGATGTCATCTTTCAGCTAATCACCAATTCAGAAAAAAAAACTTAAACAATGGTGGTAGTAGAAAAATGTTACATACAATGGGATGGGCGAGCAGTTCCCCAAAGTTGTAGATGTCATCTCCCAACAGAGCAGAAAGTGACAGATCAAATGCCAGGTCCTGAAAGAACAATACAAAGAAGAAAATGAACCACATAACCAGAAGTGTGTGTGTATATATATATATATATAACTATCCAAATTTTCTGGTAAATTCAATTTTAGAAGCTAAATCTTAGTTTGACTCTTATCAAAAGCATAAGCAGACAAGTATACAGCTGAGTAAGAGAACATACCAGCTTAAATGATTCTGAGAGAGACTCCACAGAAGTGTAGGCGAGGTATAAAAGGGCACACTTGTAGAATTCGGAAAACTCTTGGCGATATTTATGGTATTGGGAAGACACCCAATAAAACCCGGCATAAACAGACGGGTCAATGTCCGTCAAACTGTCGAGGGTGCTCTTTCCGTCATCTAACATCTTCTTGCACTCTTTCTGGTCACCTTGCTCCAGCTTGATCAAAGCTATCTGCATCTTTACGTACAGAATCGGCTCCGCTACCCGCTGCTCTTTCGTAGCTCGTACCTTCCCGATCACCCCATCGAGGTAACTGATCGCGGCTTCTTTCTCGGCATATTGCCTAGATACTATGACAGCAAAATGCGCGAGCTTCAAGAGATTGATCTTTGTCTCAAAGTCGGCGATGAAATTGTGGTAAAGCTGTATCAGGGCGTCGCCAGCCTGAGATGAACATACAGAAGAAACAATCTTAAGACAGATCCTTCAGACTTGACTTCGCCGGTTAATTAGCATCAAATGCAAGGAAGAAAGCAAACACTGATTCGAAATTCAGACCAAAGGGTATCTATATCTCAACTCACAGCCCTGAAACTTATATATACTCCAGCTTCGTCAGGTCATGCAACCAACGAACGAAGGTTGGCAATTACCACACACACACAACCAACTTATCGCTAAGGTTCTCGTAATTTCCCGTAATTGTAACAATTAAACGAGCTCACAGAGCACCAGTGCTTGACAGAAGTTGGAAATCGCAAATCATCGATCATAATGAAAAAAAAAATAAGGCACTAAATCCGTAGCGCCCGGTAACCTAGACCCAATTTCCGCGGTAAAACTCCTGCTCTATCGTGCACCAGATCTAGAAGCTGAAAAACTCGCGAAGCACCACAGAACCATGGAGAACAAACACGGGAACAAGAAATCGAACGGAAATCCGCCGAAATCGAACGAGAAAGAGAAGAAAATATGCACATGAACATGTAGAGAGAGATGCAACGGGACCTGAAAGACGGGGAGAGAGATGAACTGCTCGAGCTTGAGGGTGAGTTGGTGCCAAAGCTTCTTCTCGTACAGATCCGTTAGGGAGTTGAACCAGTCTGCAAGGTCCGGGTGCGCATTGCGCAAGGAATCTAGATATTGCAGAGCAGCCATGGTGGATATTCCGGTCGGCGGAGCAAAATCGACGATCGTTCGGCGAATTCTGGGGAAAACCTCCGTTTCTTCTCCCTCTCTCTTCCCTTTTAAACGACATTTCTTGAGCTCAGGGAAACATAAACCGGGTCCGGGTCCGGGTCCGGGTCCGGGACCGGGTCCGGGTCTAAGTATAAATACGACGGCCTTAAAGCCCAATATCAATGGGCCTACAGAGAAGAAAGCCCAATATCATTCAACCTCTGTTTTTTTTAATGGAAGTTGCGATTATGATTTGAGAAAAATAGCTCCACGCGCCATTTTTATTCCAGGAGTCAAAATCGGCCATTTTCCTGGACTATATAGTCCGGCAAAATCTGGCGCGTGATAACAACTCGCGAGTTGTGCGCGTGGGACAGTTTCTTTCATCGTCGTTTTTTTAATTGGGTCAGCATTGATGATGCGGCCCATATAGACTCCAAATATTGTTTGGGCTTTGGTAGTACTGGCCGTCAATAAAATCCGAACCAAATCTATTTGAAGGATTTAGACTTACAATATTTAAATTTAAAATAAATAAATAAATATAGTTAGTAAGTCATTTTTTCTAAATTTTAAAGGAAATAATTTTATAATCTGAAATTTTTTATTAATAAAATATTCTATTTAAAATTAAACCTTAAATAATATCATATATATGGTGACATTATTAAAATCCAACTTAACAAAGAAAAGTTTTTAACTATTTTAAAATTTTAGTTTACAAATTTTCATTAAAAATGAAAATACAACTATAGTCCCTCTCTTACTGTATTTTTTTTCCATATTGTATGAAAAATTATGCCATTTGGATTTTTTTTTTCCTTTTTGGAGGAAGTAAATGATACATTGAATTATTGGGATATAACACTTGGATAAGAACAATTATGACTTTCCATAATAGAATATTGATATGATAAGGTGTGGTAAAGCTACAATAAAGAAAGATAAACACAAATCATCAAATCATGTGAGTGAGTGTTGTTTATTGGATGAGGGGACAAAGTGTTGTGACTTCAACTCAAAGCAAAGGTTGTTCTTCTTCATTCACTTCCTTATCCCCTTTTGTCTTTCTTTCTGTGCCCTATTTATTACCACCATTTTCAACTCTCCCACTCCACACAAAACCTCAAAAAAAAAATCCAAACTTTCGCAAAGAAAATGGCAAAACAAGTAATGGGTCACTTGAAGTTTTCATCTTTTGCTGCAACTCTCCTCCTTGTTCTCCTTCTTCATCTTCCTCTAGCTTCTTCAGCCTCTGCAAGAATCAGAGTCGATCACGCGGTGGATCGTGTGGCTGAAGGACGAACCCTGGCCGTTGGATCGGATCAGATGAAAAGAATCAACCACGGGAGCGATCGCGGGCCAAGGAAACATCTTGTCAACCCGACAGTATCAGATGTCTATACAGTTCCTCAGTTACCTGTCTGATTCTATCCATAGAACTTGTTTGTTCAGTTTGTTCAGTGTAAGTGTCTGTGTTCAAGGAGATGAATGTATTTCTTCATGTTGAAGAAAAGAAAGTGAATGAAAGAGAAAAAGGAAAGTCCTTTCTCGCTTACGAAACAAGGCTGATAGTGAAATAACTTGGAGAGGATTCAATCTCTGATGCCTAAAAAAGATAAGATCACAATCAGAAAAAAGCCATGGATCCACAAATCAGACAGGTGTTTACACATTACCTCTGAGATAAAAGCTGGTCCTGAATCTGGTCTTTCCTCAAACTACGCAATCACATGACAAGTCTCAGAAGGAAGATGAAGAACAGAGTAAAACCCGTTTTTTTGTTATAGAATATCGGTTGAAAGATCTACAGATCAAAAGCTTGATGATTACAGGTGATTTTAGTGTATAACATTCACACAGAAGTAAGAGCAGAAACATGAAGAAGAGGGTTTGTATCGTCGTGATAAATCTTTAAACTATGAGTTGTGGGAAACTGATCTCGGGGTTCTTAGGTTGCATTGCATTCTTCGAGGAGATTAAGCAAGTTGTGTTCGGGGGCGCTGAGGGATGGCAAGATCGAGCGGTTGGGTTGGCTTGGACGCGGAGGTTTTGTTCCAGAGCCATCGGACGCAGCTGCTGGCCCGTCTTTTACAACCGGCAAATCGCCCCTTCTCCTCATCGATGCTGATAGTCTCTCCTTCCAAATCCTCCCATCCTATGTTTAAGAAAAACCCAATACAGAACAAGAATGACAATGCCAAAACATTCAAGCTACAGAATATGAAATCATCCATAGAGATACTGAAAGATGAATCTGCAAGCATCTGTCTTTACAACCAACCGAAATCAATCTAAAATAATACCGAAAGGAGAGGAAAAGATCGGCTATAAGGAGCTTACATTGAGAATGGATGGCTCGGGCAGTGGGCATTGGATCGGTTGGTCATTGTCCAGAGGCTCAACCGGATGTTCGACCGGTTTAAATTCAGTTGCCACTTCAATCCCATGACTAACAGCCGGCATGGTAGCAGACACAGGAGCAGTATCAGAAGCCGGAGGCAGTACTTCCCTCTCATCCTGACCAAAGTAACATGTCAATTCAGTTGCACAATTGGTCTACAAACCAACACATACAACATCTCAAAGCAGTCCTTATACAAGATTATCCCGAGAAAAGGCGGAAGCTTTATAGAGTTTCAGCCATGAAATGGTATGAAGCCATACCAAACTCATCCTCCTTACCATTCTGAGAGAAAGTTAGTATATATACAGACAAGCTTAAAGAACACATTGCAAGATAGGATTTGGCCTCCCACCATATTAATAACCCAAAAGCAGATTAGAAACAAGAGATTAGACTTAGGACATGAAGGCAAAACTGTCGACGCGTCGTGTTCCTGCTAGAGAATCCTTGAAAGGGTTTCATTGCAAAAGAATCTCATCTTGGAATCTCGAAATCAAGCAACCCAGAAGCTAAAGGTGACGTTTTTCAGCAGTTCGAAACGAGGTATAAGTTGCAAGAACAGCTGAAACACTGCTGGAGAAACATAAACAGAGATCTGACAGAACACAAGCTCCTGTTCCATAGAGACATGAACTTCAAGAGCGACAAGATCAACGAAGCTGATTTAGGAAAGAAAAAAACCCTTGATTTGCTCGCACCCAGAAGAAAATAGAATGTATTCTTCGATCCAGAGAGAGAGAGCTTACAACGGCGCTCTGTGATCGACGATGGCCGCTTCTAGAAAATCTGGAGAAAAGGCCAACCATCGTATTGAGGACGAATTACGTTATCTTACGAGCAAAAAGAAGAGCCCCCACTTTGATCTTGGCCTGAATTTTCCCGAGAAACAATCAAAACAAACAGTAGAAAGGAGCAAAAGGGTACATATTCTCCAACTCTATACACAAAAGGAAGAAGAAGAAGAAGGAAAAAGAACAAGGAGGACTGTTCCTTCAGCCACTTAATAATGCCTCTCTGCTTTCTCTCTCTCCAAAAGATTGCAAGTGGATGATGCATAATTCGATATAAATTTTCTAAAATTGTTGGATTGGATCTCAATTAAATAAAAAAATAAAAAAAAATAAAAAAATAAGTTTTTTCAGAATTTTTATACTAAAAATCGAATTGAAATAAAATACAAATCGAATTAAATATTACATTAGAAATTAAATAAATATGACGTGATTTATAAATAAACCTATGACTCTAAATATTTATCCAAGGGGAAGTAAACTATACAGAACTAATAAATATAACAATAATTTATAATGAAGCAAATATTATGTAATTCAACTGATATTTATTTAATAAGTTTGGTTAATATATAATAAAATATTATAACCAACTTGTGGATTTGTTTATATATTGACCACAAAAATTAAAATAATTTAATGTCGTTGTCAAAGACTCCTCATGGATATAATTCAAATAAAGAATTAGTATCTAATATCTATCTTCCATCTCCTAATCTTTTTATCGCCCCATTATCAAAAATATTTTTATTTTGTTATTCTTATTTCAACACATACTTTTATCCAATTGTGACCATGTGATCTATGTGACCCAAAATTCATTATTTATGATGTTAAATTTATGATGTTTTAATTAAATAATTAGTAAGATATACAATATATGAATATAATGAATTAGTGAGATCATCATAAATTTAATATTATAATCAATAAAATCAAAATGTGATCACGCTATATTTTGAGTCACATGGTCACAATTGGATAAAAGTATATGTTGAAATAAGAATATCAAAATAAGGGTATTTTTTATATAATGCATATTTTGTTAGACCTTAATGTTAAATTATATTAATGGAAAATATTAACGATGTATAGTAACTTTTACATGCTTCTTTGTTTTTATTTCGGATGGGATTTAAGTGATAACTTTACGAGTTTAGGACTTTATTTGAGTAGTGCCACTGATGTAGAGCCTTGATTGTAATTTAACAAAATTGCGTGGGTCAAATTGATAGTTATACGAATACAGGGCTTTTGTTAAGTTACGTTACTAATATTGAGGTCAGATTACAATTTAATAAAATCATGGGACGAGGTGACAATTTTCGGAGATCCTTAAAAACCCTAAAAAACCTCAAAGGGCGTCGGCTCTGGTTTCTCGCTTCTGCAAGTTCAGCTCTGAAGCTCCCGTAACAATGGTCGGGAAGAAAGAAGAGCTTGCCGTCTCCGGTGAACCAGTAGCCGCCGATAATCTGATCAAAGAGAAAACGAAGAAGAAGAAGAACAAAAAGAACAAGCACCCAGAAGAAGAAGCCGAAGAACCCATGAAAGTACCAGATCGAGAGCTCGAGGACGGGGAGGATCTGAGCAAAAAGGAGAAGAAGAAACGGAAGAGAGAGAAGGAGAAGGAGGCGAAGAAGAAGAAGGAAGAGAATGGGTCGGCGGGAGAGGTCCCGGAGAAGAAGCCGAAAACTGAGGATTCGGGTTTGAGCAATGGCGATGAGGAAGAAGGGGAAGGAGATAAGAAGGTTGTAGTAACGGGAAAAGGTGTGGAGGAGGCAAAATATGCAGCTTTGACGTCGTTTGACGCTTCCAATTTGCCGGAGAACGTTCTCCAATGCTGTAAGAATTTTCAGAAACCATCTCCAATTCAGGCGCATTCATGGCCGTTTTTGTTGAATGATCGTGATGTTATCGGGATTGCAAAAACTGGGTCAGGTTAGTTTCCTTGTACTGATTCCGCAATTATACTACAATCGCTATATGAATCTGTTGAAATTGCGTGATTTTGGTATTTTGAGATTTGCAATTTTGTTGAGTTCACAAAAGATATGATTTTGATTGTATGGAAACTTTAAAAATTGAAACTTTTTTCTTTGTGAATAGGTAAGACATTGGCGTTTGGAATCCCTGCCATCATGCATGTTTTGAAGAAGAAAAAGGGTAAAGGATCAAAGAACTACAACCCTTCTTGTCTAGTGATGTCTCCTACTCGAGAGTTGGCTGTCCAGGTAATGAGACAAGTAGACTTTCTTGTTAGGTTCTTGTTTGTTCAATCCATTTTTCTAGTTTGATGTATCAATGTCCGGATTCGGCTTCACTGTATGTGTTCTTGAAAGAAAGAAAAAAAAGAGAAAAGATTTATATGATGGATCCATGTTTTGTCATAGTTTGGGCCTGAATACATTCTTTTTCTCTGTTATTGATGGCAGATTTCTGATGTTCTGAGTGAAGCTGGAGCACCATGTGGTCTGAAATCGGTTTGTCTGTTTGGTGGAGCTTCTAAAAAGCCTCAGATATCCGCACTTCGGTCTGGTGTTGTAAGAAGCCTTACTTAATCCATTCTTGAACATATGAACAATGTGTCTAATGTTTCTTCTCACACCACCTTGTTATGAATCACGTATCTATCTATCTATCTATCGTAACATGGCTTATACTTTGCAGGATATTGTTATCGGTACACCAGGTCGGCTTAGGGATCTTATTGAGTGTAAAGCACTGAATCTTTCAGATGTTTCTTTTGTGGTGAGCTATGGACCGTATGATTCTGTTGTATTGATTTTATTACGGTATTTATCTCTCATGGAACATTGTAGATTGATTTTCTCGTCTCGGGCATTCAACAGTAACACATGGTTCTTCTTTTTTAGGTGTTAGACGAAGCAGATCGAATGCTTGACTTGGGTTTTGAGGAGCCTGTTCGTTTTATACTGAGCAAGACAAATTCAGGCAAGTATTGATGTCGGCATATCGATCATGAAAATGAAATTCCATTTCTTGAAAAATTAATTACATTTTATGTCACCCTTTTTTATCCTTCCATAGTTCGCCAGATGGTTATGTTCAGCGCGACTTGGCCTTTGGCTGTCCACAAGTTGGCTGAAGAATTTATGGATCCTAACCCGGTTAAGGTATATTATTTACCCTCGATCTTGTTCTGAGCTTCCGGTTATTCAACCACACGGAAAGATCATTTGAATTTCTTTCAGGTTGTCATAGGTTCTGTAGACTTGGCTGCTAATCACGATGTTATGCAAATCGTTGAGGTATTTTCTCGAAACAATTGTGTAATATTCCATTATCAAAATCTTTTTTCCCGATTCACAACTGATCATCTAATGGTTGCCAATGCAGGTCCTGGACGAGCGTGCTCGTGATCAACGTCTTATTTCTTTACTAGAAAAATACCACAAATCTCAAAGGTAGTGAGAAAAGGAACCAATTTCCAAACCCATCTACCCGATATTTTCATTCGTATCGTGTTTGTAATTCCTCGGTTGTTGTCTATCTACAGGAACAGGGTACTGGTTTTTGCCTTGTACAAGGTGGAAGCTGAACGTCTCGAGCGTTTTCTTCAACAAAGGTATGATCTTTTTTCTACCTCGGCATCCAAACACAGCCAAAGGCGAAAACTTTAATGAAGTAAATGTTCATTGAGGGGTTTTAAAATTTTCGTTACGATGCAGAGGTTGGAAAGCTGTATCTATACATGGTAACAAAGCACAGACTGATCGTACCAGATCCTTGTCATTGTTCAAGGAAGGGACTTGCCCTCTCATGGTATGTTCCGAGCAATTCGCAATCTCTGTCAGTTTTTCTCTTGCATCGTTCAACCGAGATTTTTGTTCCGTTGCATCCGAAATTGCTGACAATCTATGTTGGTTGTTCTCTTGTATCGTTAAACTGAGATTTTTTTTTCCCCATTGCACCCGAAATTGCTTATATTGTATCGTTAAACCGAGTTTTTTTTCCGTTGGACCCGAAATTGCAGGTGGCTACCGACGTAGCGGCAAGAGGGCTGGATATTCCCGATGTGGAAGTAGTGATAAACTATAGTTTCCCGTTAACCACAGAGGATTACGTCCACAGAATCGGGAGAACGGGAAGGGCCGGGAAAAAGGGTGTCGCCCACACGTTCTTCACGCAACAGAACAAGGTCAGTGAAGAAGAAATGAAAAATCAATTCGAAAACTTTTTGTGGATGGATGGATGGATGGTTTCCGTTCCGATGAATGAGGATTTAAAAATCAAAAGTTCAAAACTTTTTGGCATGAAAGATGGAAAAATCTGAAAACTTGTTGGATTATGTTTAAAAAATCAAAGCTTTTCGATTGATCGCATCGTTTCCAGGGTCTTGCTGGGGAATTGGTGAATGTTCTTAGAGAAGCAGGGCAAGTGGTGCCGAGTGAGCTTATGAAGTTTGGGACTCATGTGAAGAAAAAGGTTAGGGTTTCACATTCAGCATTCAGCAATCACACGTCTGATTTCTGTGTTGAATTCGGTTCAGATTTGGTTTTTATTGATAAAATACTTGTTTTTCAAATGGGTTTTCGATTTTTCCGGTTATTGATTATTTGCTTCTGTTTGGGTTCTCGTTTGTACGGTTTTAAAGACTTCCGCAATCACCCGCCACCACCAAGGTTGTTGCCTGATGATCAGGGCGGTCATTTCGAGCTTCGGTTCGGTTATATTCTGTTTTAGACAAAGTTGTTCGGTTTGGATTTGGTTCGGATCCGGATCTATTGATAATACTTGTCTCTCAAAGGAATTTTAGATTGAGTCATTTGGTTTTTATACCGGATTCGGTTTGGTCACGGATACGGTTAAGATTGATTCGGTTATTGGTGACGAATTTGGTTGCAGGAATCGAAACTATACGGAGCTCATTTCAAGGAAATCGCAGCTGATGCTCCAAAGGCGAAGAAAATCACATTTGATAACTCTGACGACGAAAACTAGCCGGGGAAGGTTCTGGTTGCTCCTCTCCCGTTTCAAGAATTTCTCCCTACTCTGTCCTTGGTTAAAGGAAAACATTGTTATACGTTGTGAAATTATTTCCAATTTTTGTCGTAGTAATTAATTTTTCACCTTTTTTTTAAAAAAAAGGGCGAAAATTCAAATATTTTTTCGTAATAGAATACGAGGTCGGGTGGCATAATCATAGACGGATGCCACTAGAAGAATTAGTGCCAACGGTTCGGTTTAATCGGTCACGGTTAATTCGGATTCGGATATTTTGAGTTTTGAAAATTTACAATCAAACGGTTATTTAATTTTATTCGGTTCGATTTGGTTCGGTTCGGTTTTATATACTTAAAATTATAATCAAATAAAAATTCGGTTCGGTTTGATTCGATTATAATATTAAAAAAAAGTTTTGAAATGTTTATAATAAAAAAAAATTAAACAAGATATAATATCAAATATCATCATGATCATCGTAGCATATAAAATAACAAAATCTAAATTTATATCATAATTTGTTTTGATGTAAAACAACAAAATAAAAAATTTTAAATAAACTTTATCCTTTTCAAATGTTCATATAACAAAAAATTTGAAAATAATAAAATAAATTGAAAATAATAAAATAATAATTAAATTAGAAAAAATTATATATCTCAATTTGTTATATATTTATACTTTTTTTTCTAATTAAATTTAACATATATTATATATCAATTAGTGATATATAGATGGATAAACGGTTATATCTGGTTTATTAGGGTTCGGTTTATTCGGTTTACGGTTATTTTGGGTTCGGTTATTTCGGATTTTAAAAAATCATAACCAAACGATTATTTAATTATATTCGGTTCGATTCGGTTCGGATATATATCGATCGGTTCGGTTAATAACCGAATTACTCGAACCGAATACCCACCCCTAGGGTTGAATACAAAAATTTTGTATGAAAAATGGTTCAGGGTTCAATACTTAACTTATTCTTAAATTTATAAAATATGTAATTATAATTTTAAAATTTGTTAATTGATAACAAAAAAATCTTAATAACATTGATTTATAAATCCGTTTGAAAACTATGATGACATGTATTACAGATTTAAAAGTTAGTCATATTTTGTAAGGTTAATTCAAACGAAAAATTTTTAAAATGGTTTCCCATAATTTTATATAAAAAAAATATTAAGTTTTGGATTTTGTTTTTTTTTATATATACACATGAGGAAATTCAAAAGTTTAGGTCCGCGCGTCAGTGCGTGAGTTTCACTCGCCTTTTACCAGCGAGTGAGACGCATGTTTCCGTTCCGTCAACCACGACCAAATCCTTCTTTATCTTCTCACTTCTATTTCTATATGCGCCACCCCACGCGCCTACGCGCGCTTCGCCGTGACACGTTTTTTTTTTTTTTTTTGTTAATGGGACCGTGACACGTTTGCATGTAAATTCCTCCGCTCATAAGTATAAATACAGCGTTCTTTGTCTCAATGCATTAAGAAGAAGGGGGAGGAGAAGAAGAAGGAGGAATGCAACCAGCTGGCCGATCCTCTAAAGAAATCCGTTACACCATCTTCATGGTGATGACAATCTTTGTCGGATTCTTACAAGCAATCTCCTCTCAGTTGGAATTCACTCACTGGGCCGTTCTCTCTTTCCTCCTCCTCGTCCTCCTATACTCCTTTCTGCAACTCGCCGTCACCACCAAACTCCATAGCCATGAGCTCCTGACCGAAAGAACCCACTCTATTGTTCTCTTCATCGACAAGCTCAGCCATTTGGCCGGCTCTCTCTCTGTCATCGTTCTCGTCACCTTCGTTTCTCAGATCTTCGCCCTTGTTCTTCTCGTTCTCTGCTTCGTCTGGTTCTCTTACGTCGTCTGTTCATTCGTTAAACGGACGGTTAACCGGCTATCTCCTTCCGATCCGACCGTACCGCTCTCGGTTTTGGTCTGCTGGTATGCGTGGTTTTGGCGGTTTCTTCGGGGTCCGCAGCTGCCAGTTCTTTTGGCTCGTCCAGATGAAAATGTGTAGTATGCATATGGGGGATGAGCCAAGCTCGGTTCTTGCTAACCGGACCGGAATTAACCGGTTTATTTGAAAGGTTATCTATTGATCCCGGTTCATGTGTGTCTATGGGTATTTCAACCCTTCAGCTATTACTTTTTGCCTGATTTTTGGGCAGTCGGTGTTTCCCACGGTCGTAGGCTAAGAGACCTTTGATTATGTTCTCTCTCTCTATACATACATAATGTATTGCTCTCTCTCTCTCTACATATATGTATGTGTGTATAATGTATTGTATTTGTAGTGTAAACGTTGGATTTTGTCTTAATGAGTCTAATGACTGCTTGTTGTATCTTGTCATATAAACGTGTGTGTATACACGTGTGTTATTGAGTATATATATATCAGGAGAAATATTCCTGAAAAATATCATGGGTCCAAATACTAATATTAAATTCTTAATGTATCACTTATATATTTATTTATTAATCAATTTTAGAATATACATTATAACAGTTTAACTCTGCCCAAAAAAAAAATATAGGTTTACTCGGGCGATAACTCTGAAAAAATGGTAGAGTGGCTATTAGATCGGACAATTATAATAAGTGATAAGGGTCGACCATTCGGGTTTTATTTTGATTCGGTCCTTTCGGTTTTATAAAAATAGATACCAATCAGCTATTACATTACATTCGGTTCGGTTTTGATTCTATTTTTATTAAAAAAAAATTAGATTAAAAAAAAAAACAGGGATTCTTAGAGTTTTCTAAAATTCAGTTTGATTCCAAAAAATTAGATTTTTTAAAAATAATATCGTTTAAATAATTTTAAACCGTTTGGATTGCAGAAAATATACAGTATTTGGATAATTGGAACACACACCCTAATACATGATATACATCACATGTAACGTCAAAAATGTGATGTTGGTCGCTGTCACACGGATATTGGTATGTGAACAAATTCAATAATAGAATATTAATTTGAAATTAATTAAGTTTATTTAGATCACACACACATATGTACATATACATACGTATATATATATGATGAAACTTATGTAAAAACAATAATTATATATATATATGTATCATTTTCATATTCATCATGTCAAATTATAAATAAAGTATTTACCAAAAACAATTGTAAATAAAGTATATGATTACGGCATGCTGATGTTTATGGATCGTACATAATGGGCTGGTCCGATTATGGGCTCGTCGCCGGCCCAATATGTTGGAGCTCTCGAGGGGCAGTTTCGTAAATAAATGTGATTCGAAATCCCGCGTCCCGCCAGAGAGAGAGAGAGAGAGAGAGAGGGAGAGAGAGGAGTAAAGGAGTCCACTCCAGTTAAGCTACGCAGTCGGTGGTGTTTGTTTGGGTCTGTATATATATCTCTCTCTCTCTCCGTTCCGTCGGATATCGGCGGTCTTATCGGAAGAATTTTGAGTCGCGGAATCTAAGATCTTCGACGGGGATGAATCGCCACAACGATCCCAATCCCTTCGAAGAAGAAGAAGAAGAAGCCGTCAATCCATTTTCGGTACTTATCCTATTTTTTCTCCATAATCTTCTTGGTAAATCGCCTCTTTCTATATTTAGCAGAATTTACTTGGATTCGTGACTTGAAGTGCAGTTTATTTCGGATTTCTGTTTTGTTTTTTGCGTTTCAAACTGTAGAGGAATCTGGATCTCTGCCGTCCATTCGAGTTTTCCCAAAAGTTAACTCCAGAATATAGATTCCTGATTCAAATGATTCTGTAATACCCTGTATGAATCGGGAAGGCGGAGATATTTGGTTGCTGGATCTTCGGAATGTTGAATTCGGATATTCCGATAAATCTTGTTTCTAAATTAAGGTGTTGAACTGTATCCTTGGATCTGGGAAAGTACTAGTGAAGGCCCTGGAACGTAAGAAACTAGTTATGTGTATCATATAGCTTAGCTTGTGTATAGTTTGGTCTTTCAACTAAGAGCTGATTGAAGTTCGGTTATTGATTTTTAGGTACCGATACCTAAATTTCTTGTGTTCTACTAAACTTTGAGTTTGATACTGACACCCTTATCAAATTTAACGTTGAAACTTGAACTGGGTCATGAGAATTAAGCAATTAGGATAGTAAATGAAGATACGCCCTCACAGTTACCCATATATGCTCATTGTTTAGTGTTATAATTGTGCTTAATTGGCTATGATCCAACCTTGTGTTAACATTTGCTTTGATATTTCACTGATTCATATGTATAATTGATAATTTGCAGAAGGGTGCTGCTGCCGCTGGAAGGGTTCCGGCTGCATCTAGACCAGTTGGATTTGGCAAAGGCCATGACGCTACAATTGACATTCCATTGGATACAATGAATGTAATCATAATAGCTTCCCTATATTCATGCATGATCTTATTTTCACACCTGAATTTGACTTGAAACCGTGTGTTGTAATTGGTGCAGGACTCTTCAAAGAAACAGAGAGAGCTCGCTGATTGGGAAGCAGATCTTAGGAGGAGAGAAATGGTAATTACCAAAGATATTCCTGCTTTTCATCAGTTTCTCATTCGATCTCTTGGTCTTTTTGTTTAATTTTTGCAACTGTTTGTTTTTGGTTCACCCAGGATATTAAACGAAGAGAAGAAGCAGTTGCTAAGTGTAAGCAAATGGAACCTTGATCACCAATGTTGTTCATCAGTTTGTTACACTTATATGTCATCAGATGTCATGGTCAGTTGTTAACTGATAGTTATGCTTCAAATTGTTTCACAGCTGGTGTCCAGATAGATGATAAGAATTGGCCACCATTTTTCCCAATCATACATCATGACATTGCTAATGAGATACCAGTTCATGCACAGAAGCTGCAGTATCTGGCATTTGCTAGTTGGTTGGGTAAGTGGAGTCATTGACATCGATTCCTCGATTATATAATCTCTGTCTATGCAAAATTAGTAATGATGCTGTCAACTTTCCTCTTCTGCTACGGTTCTTGCTACCTACAGTGTCTAGCGTCTTCCAACTTTTGGTCATTGTTTTCCCATGTTTTAGCTGTCTCTTGCTCGATGAAGACGTTCTTTATGTTTCTAAATGTCATGCTGTTTGAGTTTAAATTACAGGTATCGTTTTGTGCCTCGTGTTCAACCTCATTGCTACAATCGTATGCTGGATTAAAGGCGGTGGTGAGTTTACACTCTAGTGATCTTCCCTGTAAGGGGAACCATTTTCTGAAGTTTTAGTTGGATTATGGCGACCTAATACTGCTTCATTCTCAGGTGTGAAAATATTTTTCCTCGCAACGATCTATGCATTGATGGGTTGCCCAATTTCATATGTACTGTGGTACAGGCCTCTCTATAGAGCAATGAGGTAATGTTTTTGACTCATCTAGGAATAATTGTAATGTGATTCACATTCCATTCACTTTTTATATGTACTGCAGATCTTCCTTTCTGTTCATAAGATGTCTAAGTTTGTAAATGAATATTTTTCTCACATTGCAGGACTGATAGTGCTTTGAAGTTTGGTTGGTTTTTCCTGTTCTACTTGGTGAGCTTGTAAAGAACTCTTTATCCTTTTATTTTTATCCTTCCTATATGTGTTAGTGAATGATTTGTTTGCAGATTCACATCGGATTCTGCATACTTGCCGCCATAGCTCCTCCAATTGTCTTCCATGGGAGGTCATTAACGTAAGTCTTCATCATTTATCGATGCCCGTAGTCTCTTATGCTTAATGACTGATGATGTACTCGTCTCTTTGTATTGCTTTGTTGACTGTTGAAATAAGTTATTCTCTTTTTTTTTTTTTTTTTTTTATTTTTTTTTAAATAG